GTTTTATCTTTTCAATCTCCTCTTTGAAGTATTGTCTCCTTTGCATTTTACTAACACAAGATACTAATGCATGCCACACAAGATACTAATGCATGCCACACAAGGTACTAATGCATGCCACACAAGGTACTATAGGTTGAATATCCTTTATCCAAAATTCCAAAATCTGAAAGTTTTTCAGGTACTGACATGATTTGCCACAAATGAAAAATTTCAAAAATCATGGGAAAGGTTCCTAGGTAATGTGCAGCTTTTGTAAGTAACCCCGTCTGCCCTGGGTGGGGCTTCCCCTGCTCAGCCATATAGCCTATGCTGGCACCAGTTTTATTTTGTTAGGGACCATCACAGCAACACCTTCATTTGGAGATTACTTACCGCGTGTTTTTTTTGTTCAGTAGACATATTCAAAATGTCAAGAAGTCCTGCATTTATGTATTTTTTTTGTAAGTAGTGAGCATTTTTTTTGTACACATACAGAAAGTGAAAAGTATTATTTTTACGTGAAATCTTAATTTCACCACTTAAAAATCTGTGTTAGTGTCATTATGTGTATCTGTGCCATATAAGACATAAATGAATGGAATCATCCATTTATGTAAAGAAGTGGAGTTCAGTGGAATTAGCATTAGGTCAGTGGCTAAGTGTACCTTCATGTAGTAAACCTTCTATTTCATTACTTACCTATGAGTTTGTCTTCCTTATTTATTTCTCTCTGTTATCTCAAAAACAGAAGATACAACAATCTGTATTTAGACAAAATTTATTAAATTTTATATAAAATTACTTTCAGGGTATATAATAAGCTGTGTTATGAAATGTAAAGAGATATTGTGTTTATGCTTGGGTTCCATTCCCAAACTGTACCATTTCATAAATGCTATATACAAATGAAATAGTCTATATTCCAAAATCCGAAAAAATCTGAAAACTGAAGCACTTCCAGTCCCAAGAATTTCAGATAAAGGATTCTCAACCTGTATCAGTCACCCCTTGCATCCTAGTAACTTTATTGCAATGCTTGGGGAGGTATTTTGATGATATCTATTGTGAAGATACTAGTACGTGCCAAAGATAAAATTTTAAAGACGCCTGTTAAACATTCCATATGTTGATTACGTGTGGAAACCTCCAAAATGATCGAGATGTTAAATGAAATTCTTACCCAGTATTTTTTTTGTAATGATTAAATATTAATTAATTACTAATATTAAAATATACACCTGAAATATTTTCAGTTTCTGAATTAAAGTTACACAGCAATTTGTGTACAAATTATACAAAATTCTTTTTGAGAATCAAAACGCCAACTTGAAAGTGATGGGGAATTACTGTCATATGAATGAAATATTTTGGAAATTGTGTTTATTTCAACAATGTAACTAGAGAGATAGAGTAAATCAATATGTGGTTATTAAACTCGATTCTCATTGGGGAAAATATTACAAATAATTTATAAATCAAGTGGATCTCCATTAAATGAGCACAATAATTGTTTGATTTTATTAATAAATTGTGGCATAACAGCCATCTTTATCTGTTCTTAAGCAACCAAAGGTGTTCAAGATTTACATGGACTTCAAAGATCAACTGCCAACTTGGCCCCCGTCTGCCTTATTCGCCCTAGTACAAATCTTAATTCTGCCCACTATTTTGACTGCAGACAAAAACTGGACTCATAAATGTCTGCCTTATTTTAACTCTAATAGAAACTGAACCCATGTTTTCCTTTTATTTTTTTATTTTTTTACTCCAATGCAGACTGGGCCAATGTCTGCTTTTTTTACCCAAGTACAAACTAGGCTTGTTTCTGTTTTTTTAACTCTAGTACAAACCAAGCCCATGTCTCCCTTTTTTACACTAGAATAAGCTGGGCCCATGTCTCTTTTCTTTTTAGCTCCAGTACAAACCAAGCTCATTATTATTTTTTGGACCCAGTACAAACCAAACACATCTGCTTTTTTTTTTTACCCTAGTGCAAGCTGTATCCCAGGTTGCTTTTTAGATTCTAGTGCAAACCAAGCCCATGTTTGTCTTTTTGACCTGATTATAAATTGGGCCCATTTCAATCATTTTGGCAAGTGATTACGATTTATGAACCCCTCCTGTCCCCGAGAGGAAAAATATGACATAATATATGACATTAAGTAATATAACAAAGGTTTAAGTTTTGTTAGTGTCGAAAGTGTCGACCACACTATATAAAAAAACTAAAGCTATTCAGGCTTTTTAAGCATAAAAATTGTATTCTACATGCAGTTAAAATATGACTTCATCAAGATTATCATTTTTCATCTTATATCTAAACATGTGATTCGTGGATGAAATTGAATTTCTGTTAAATAAAAACAATGTCATTTTATTGCAGATGAAATATGGAGGTCATGGCTTCTCGCATATTCTTCAGACAATTGTGCCAATGATGAAGACAAGAAATGTGAGCCAAGAAGACATTGAAAAAATCCTTATCCACAATCCAAGAACTTGGTTGACATTTAAATAATTCATTTTTTACAAGCGAACATCTTTTCGGCTGAACAAAAGAATTTGAATTACAATTATTTTCTTAGTTTCTTTGTCTTGTTTTATTAAAATATATTTTGTCAATTTACCAATTCAGCTTTTCCCAACAGTTACTTTTATTCTTCAGCTTTTTCCGAATGTCAAATGGAATTTCTTATTGGTTCAACAGGGATATGCTGTACATATTTATTTCATCCTTTCTGTGAAATTTCAGAACTAAAATCTTTTTTTTTTTTTTTTTTTTTTTTTTTTTTTTTACTGATCTGCCTCTTTATTGAATCAATGTTTATTTGTGAATTAATGACTCTCAGAGAACTCGCTATATTCTTATCCACTAGGTTATTACGGGACACTTAGCTAGCTTCTTTTTTTTTTTTTCTTTTTTCTTTTTGGCTTTCAAACTTTTGGCTGAATTATTGATTTCCATTCAGTATTGATAACTATGCTCTGCTTACTGATTGGAGGTGACAGGTGTAAAATTAATATACCTTCCCCACACCTATCATAGATAAAATCTGGCAGACACTTGAAAAAGGTATAGTAGATGCAACATTGTATAAAAATGACAGGGGAACTAGTCTGAAGGAACCAGTTATATTATAATTCTGATGACTCCTTAGAATGTGCATTTCACCATTATACTTTGCTTGTCCCCTGCCCACAAATGTCTTGCCTGTCCCCTGCCCACAAATTATAGTATAGAAGTAGGGGAAAGAATAAACCTATAAGGCTTTTTTTTTAAAACTTCTGACAAGCCTCATTCTGAGGTGTGTTGAAGCTGCATATGTATTTCTAGAAAGCAAGAAAGGGAAGATAAATATATGACAACCATGCCAGTCTCAGCTTCAGTCACTTTCTCGTCATCATAACAGTGTTGTAGAGTAGGACTCTGTGTACTTCCAGTTCTTCCCTGCTACTGTGACGATGGACTGCTCCTACTTATAAATATGAAAAGTAGCCACATTAGATGAGGATTTGAGTAGTATTTCATTTACTCAAGTCTTTCCATTCTATGTATGACTATTTAATAAAACTCTTCTTTGTTTTCCTCTACCTAGTCTTCTGTTCCTTTGATGCTCTCTCTAACTACGGCCTTCCTAATTCTCAGCAATTTTGAACAAAGACAATGTTACAACACAGCTTCCCTGTGCCTTTTCTATAAATATTTTTGTGGTAATTGTTCTGATGAGCTTTCCTCTTTGGTATGTCAACTTTATGAATTTAAGTGCAGTACTAGATTGGCAGGTAGGTCTCATCATTTTGCTGTTTGAATTGCTAGTTATAACCATAAGTTCTATGCTAACAATTTCTTCTCATGCACTTCTCGCTTGTGGAACTCTCTTCCAGCTTCTTGCTTTCCAGTTAAACTTGGTCTTCAAAAATTCAATGTCAATCATTATCTTCTGTTTTCTTAATTCCTGTTCTTTTATTGGCCTCTCTCCTTAATGAAATTTTTCTTTCATGTGCTTTCACAATCTGTAACACCTTGCGTCCTAGTGACTTTATTGCTTTGTATTGGGTGAAAAAAAAAAACAAAAAAAACTGATGTATGTATATCTTTAACTGACCTATTCATCTCAAATAATCTACTTACATATTTGTCATTTTAAGTGTTCTGCTTCTACCTCTTAATAAGTTAGTACAATGAATAATGCAGTGAGGAATTTGTCAACACAGTCAATGTTGACACATGTATTGACTTTATTGGTGTCTCTGTCAAAAAATAAAGTTTCATATGAAAACCTGAAAATAAAATTCACAAGAAAAAAAAAGCCAATGAAACATTAACTTTTATTTATTTTTCATTATTACTGTCAACATTTATGCTTGTTTTTTTTTTTCTATCTTAATTTTGTCACTTTTTATTAAATCTCAAATAATCTATTAGTGTTAAAGTCAGGTTAAAGTCACAGTTAAGAGAATTGAATTCTATTTACATTATTCAGACTGTTATCCTCATTTTCATTGTCATATTCACATTCCAGCTGTGTACACTCAGACCTTCTTCAGGTGATTGGAATTTTGAACCAAATCCTTTATTTCATCTACTGGGGTAGATTGTTCTAGCTCCACGTGCCATGCCTCTTCTGGATGTCTCAGCTATCAGCCTTTATCCACTCAAGGACACATGGCCCAGTGTATAAAGGTGTTGGTTAGATCCGGTGACAAGCCCCAAAGAATTGCGAGTTCAGTACCAGGTCACAGCAGTGGTGGACCAAAAACTTGGAGAGTTGAGTTAAAGGGATGGAACTAGAACAATCTACGCCAGTGGACAAAATAAAAGGTTTTTTTGAAATTCCAATCACCTGAAGAAGGCCGGAGCATACAACGGTCGAAACGTTGTGAATATGGCAATGAAGATGAGGATAACAGTCTGAATAATGTAAATAATAATATAATACCTAATGTCTGAGATATAGGCAAATTAAATTCCAGTGTTTAATCTTTTTTTTTTTTTTTCATAGATCAGCAAGTATTGAATCAGGTTGACATTGCTTCAATGGCAAATGCACTGAAAGAGATAAAAAAACATGAATGAATAGACGGAAATAAAACAGAGTATATGAAATGATAGCCCACTATTTCGGTCACATATTGTTTAAGTTTATCTAAAGGGAATCTAGAAAATAAAGAAAAAATTGGGTCATGGTTCATTTTTTTTAAAAAGTGGGGGGGGGATGCTTTATGAATTTTTGATGACGTGATCCTAAAACCATTTAATCGTATGAAATACAATCCAGCAATCTTTATTAGCAGTCAGATGAATAGTCTCAACATTTTGTTTGGCTATTGGCACATTTGTGACCTCCAACCTTTTTGCATTTGTCTGTCAAGCCAGGTAACCTTATTGGAAATTCAAACTAAACCTGCTATTTAAACTACTGTGTAGATTGTTCTCATTCAGTTGCCATGTCTAGAGATATCTTGTCTTTTTCTTATTTACTACTTCTGTTCAGTTATTGCTTGCCTTTTTTTTTCCTTACTCTAAGATTGTACTACACAGCCTGGGGATTGAACTCACAATTATTATACCATCAAACTCAGGAACCAATGTATTAATCCACTAGGCCAGTGGTTCCCAACCTTCTCTAGCTCATGGCTCACTTTGAATCCAGAATTTTTCTGTAGCTCATGAAATTATAATGTAAAACAAAATACTTCCATTTTACATAGAATATATCCCATTATAAGATTTCTGTGGCCTACTTGAAATTCGCCATGGCCCATTTTGGCCAACACCACACTAGGCTATTGTTTTGTTGGAAACAGAGTGAAGAATAACTAAAAGCATCGCTAAAAAACAAGATATATCCCTAGACAGAGACAACAGAGCCGCAGGGAAGACACGGTGATGCTCAGCTACATGAGAGCATCTCTCTGCGCCACCTTGGTCTTGCATTTTCCACTGACCTGAGGTTGAACAACTACATTGAATCAATAGCTGCATCTACTTATCGATGTTGCTTATCTTCAGTGATTGCATGAGAACCAGTGTCTCAAAGCAATACGAGTGAGACAACACACAACACTTAGTAAGAAAATACGCAGCAAATAGGTTTTGTTGCTTATGGGGTTGTCTTAGTCAGAGGACCAAGCTAACCAAAGTCCATCAACAAAATTGTCTTTAATGATCATCAGAACTGGAAAAAAGTTATCTTGTGAGATACATATCAAATTTGAATAAAGATGTGTGTGAGCACAGTTATTCTGAAACAGGGAAAACACCAGGATGTACTGCATGGAAAATAACAAGCGAGTGGTTGCAATGTGATAGTTGAGTCAATATTCAAGGTTTTTGGCAAAGTTTAACAAATGTGCCCTCGAAAAGACATTTTTTTTCTTGACATAACCAATACTGTATAGCCGAAATTTGACTCTGAAATCTTGAGTATGTCTAACAACTATTTTCAAGCAGTTGGGCACATGAGATATAAAGACTGATTTTTACTATAAAAAAATGCAAGCTAAATGTCCATAAGCATGGCTGATGCTAATCTTCAAGAGAGTAACTCATTGCACCTTATGAGTCTGATATTTTCCACTTTTTTGCCAGAAGCTTTCTTTATAAGTCACATTCATCTGTGCATTGAATGTTGCTGCTATATTTAGTCTGATGCTTCCGCTATGTATCCAGAGATGCTTGATAAAATCCAGAGGAGAATCTGCAATATTATTAGTCCTGACCTGGTATCTCAGCTTCAATCACTTTCCTATTGCCATAACGTAGATTCTCTGTGCCTTTTCTATAAATATTTTCATGGCAATTGTTTCGATGAGCTTTCCACTTTGGTACCATGAATTTAAGCATTGGCTGTTAGGTCTTATCATTTTACTGTTGAAATGGTTAAATAGAACTACACTCTTGTGCAAATTAATCGAAACAACAAATTCAGTTTCCTTTCTTTCACCATACCGTCAGTTTTAGACCCACTGGAGTGGCAGGGGGTAATCAATTTCTATTTTTTCCTCAGAGTAGGTCATTTGCAGTGGTGTGCAGTAATATGAATCTATTTTCAGGGACTAGAATGAAATTTGTTTGGCTTTGAAAAACATTGCGTCATCCATGATTGCATCAGATTTTTATCAATCCCAGACATTATTGTCTCAACTGTCAATTAGTTGTCCTACAGCCAATGTCTGTGATGGACATTACTCAAAGGAATTGTATGAAAATTGTAACACTGCACAAACACACTGGCAAACCTTACCAGTGAACAAATCAAAGTACTATAGATCGGCCCGGAAACTCTCTTGATTTAAATCCAGTCAAGAATCTGTGGTCAATCTGCAAGGAATGACGCCATGGAATGGACATACGAAGTACTAACATGTGTACCGGGTCGTGTCTCATTGGAAAAATATGAAAAAAAAGTAAATAATGGAATTATTTGTTTTGTTTCAATTAATTTGTACAACAGTGTCGGTTCTAATAGTTTCTTCTCTCAAATTTCTCATTTGTGAAACTTACTTTCAGCTTTT